GGTCAGGTGCTGGAATGGGCTGCCAAGGGCAGTGGTTGAGTCACCATCCCTGGAGGTATTCAAAAAAAGCTTAGATGAGGGACGTGGTTTAGTGCAGCAATATTTGTGGTAGATAGGCAGTTGGACTGGATTATCTTGGAGGTCATTTCCAACGTTGGTGATTCTGTGATTCTATGCACAATTTATCTAATCAATAGATTGTACTTTGGTGAAACTTATAATAGGCTACTGTTATTTGTAAGTTAGATACTTTTGTTGTCAAACTTTTCCACTAGAAAGAGAGAAGAATAAAATGTGGACTTTGATTTGGCCCAAATTTAGCAGCTCAATGATGTCTGTCTTTCATACTGATCAAAGATGTTTCTGATCAAGATTACTGCTGATGGCATAATAATGATGTCCCAAAAAATGCTTATATACAAATTGTGACTTCTTTAATTGTGCTGGAAAACATCCCATAGGTAAATCTGTACCCGCCAAGATGAGCTTTGGCCAAAGCTTCTCCTTTCATATGGATAGAGAGAGAAAAAAATAATAATAAAAAAAAAATAAAAAATATTTTAAAAAAACACACATTTTGCTGACATAGGCATCTAATCTGAGTCTGACCATCTGGATTCTAATGAGAAAGAGGCATTTCCAAAGCAATTATTCATCTTACTCTTGGGCACCTGTTTAAGGTTGGAATAAAGTGCTCCCTGAAGGAGTATCCCAGGTCCCTGGACCTAATGTTTCGTTAGATGGTTTTAGATGCCTAAATTTGAGGAAGCTAAAATTAGGTGAGATGGATACTGTCTCTAATGAAAATGAAGTCTTCCGGGTCCAGAAAGAGGATGACTTCATTGATAACAGTGCAGTTAAATCAGCAGACCTGCCCTGAGTTAAATTTATTTGAAAAGCAGGAATATTTCTCATTAAAAACAGGATATGTACTCTGTACATGGCAGCAGTGGACAACATGACCAGTTCTCATGCAAAGTCTCAGATCTGAAGGTTGCTTTGTTTATTCACCTTTCCCTATTGCAATTATCTTTCTTCCAAAGCAAAGAGGGTGTTGTGCTTCTAGAAGCTAAAAAAAAAAAAAAAAAAAAATCTACAAAGTTACCAATATTCAAAAAGAAACATAAATGCAGGAAAATATGTTTAGCTCCAAATCTCTGTGTGCTATGTGCTCTTGGCTGGAGTAAATACTTGGAATGGAAAGCATAAAAATAGCCACTCATGATAGAACACACGGTTTTATAAGTCGAAATGGATAGACAGATAGATAGATAAATGAATAAATAAATATTTTCTCCAGATCCCTATACATATGTAAACTGGAGAGAAAGTGGAAAGTCTCTACATGCAATGCACTTTCTGGTGTCTCATCAGGTAGTGCTACTTAAATATAGAATAAGTGCAATCTTATAAAGGTAACCAATTCATTCACAGAAGCAATCCAGCTGAATGAGAGTTTGTACATACTTGTATATACTTGTAGTCATCACCAGATTGTGCAAATTTGCTTTGTCATATGTATGTGAGTGAACTATTTGTTTCAACCAAAACTGAGGTCTCTTGAAAGCACAGCAGTTTTTAAAGGATTATTCTGTTTTCAGGTAAGAATATCTTAATCTAGAAGTTCTCTATCTTAATTTAAATCCTGGCACTGACTGCTGGTTTTGAGCACCACAAATTAAGACTATATAAAATATTTGTACATAAAATATATTTTAAGGAACAACATAACAACACTATGCCCTGATTTCACTATAGGAAGTCTGGATTCCAGATGTGTTTGGTAAATATGTGGTACTTCATCACCCCACACAGAGAACATATGTTTTGATTCTTTCCTTGTACCAGTTCTATACCCTCATCAATAAAGGAATCCGTAAGTTCACGTGAGTTGTTTTCTAAATGACTCCTGAAATAACTTTTAGCTGAAGCAGTAGAACTTTCCACCTTTTTTCTGAAATCAGGTCTAGACCACTGCTGATGAGATGAACTGCCTTGACTACTCACAGAGAAGATGTTCAATTGTCCAGGAGAGAAAGAAATATGCTGATTGATGTTTTTCCCTTTGCACTCCAGGAAGAGGAGTTGTCATTATAGGAATAGTTGTTACTGAAATTTGTTTCAGTACCTCAAATTTACCACTCATCTTCTCCCTGCTGATTTCCATAGTTATCTGTCTAAGATGTACAGGGGGAAGAGCACCAATGTTCATAGGTAAGGTGACCTTTCCCTTCTCTTACCAAAAAACAACAACAAAAAACAACAACAAAACAAACAAACAAACAAAACCAACCCCCTCTCCTCAAAAAAAAAAAACAAAAAAAAAAAAACAAAAAAACCACACAAAAAAACAAACCCCAATGAGACAGGTAAAGTAATGGTACCAAGTTGATTGTTTTAATTCTGTAGTTATGAACTTGGTCTTACAGCAAACACTGTCAATAACAGTTCTTTCATTGTTCAGTCAATTCCATCTTGGGCTCTTGAGATCATGGAATCATAGAATGGTTTGAGTTGGAAGGGACCTTTAAGATCATCTAGTTCTAACCTCCCTGCTATAGGCAGGGACGCCTCCCTCTAGGCAAGGCTGCTCAAAGGCATGGATTCTACCATTCTTAATGGGAAAGGAGAAAGAGTGCAGTATTCTTCCTTGAAGAGACAGACATCTTGCCAAAAAAAAGTAATGTTGAAATGAACCAAAACTTATTTACTGAATGTTAAAAAAAAAAAAAAAAAAAAAAAAAAAAAAAAAAAAATTGCAAACAAAATGTCTGTTTTTTGCCGGTAATAAAACAAAAGTTGATATTTCAGGTGGAATTAAATATTTTATTTAACCAAAATTATTTTGAACTTGAAGAAATTTTACCAGAAACGAAGTTGTGTGAGACTGGTACGGAACATATTTTCTCAAATCAACATGAGACATCCAGTAACACTTTGTATTCAGAAGCATTCCTTTGGACAGAGCCAGAATATATTTGCTTTTATATGGGAAGTTCCAAAGATGTTTTCTGGCCAAAGACATGGCCTGGGAGCAAATATTTTCAGCTTGATATAAGAAGTTAGTAAATGATACCGCTGTATCCTGTGAAGGAAAGATACAAGCTGCATATCCTTGCTTTCTTTTACCTCTGCACAAAAGAATTCCTGCTGAGAGCCCAGAAGCCAGTAGCTGTCACTCCAACGAGTCCTCTGAACAGCTCTGGACTATAAGTAAGAGAGCATGTGTGTTTATCATTGCCATCACTTGACCATCACATCTTAGACAACCCACCACTACTGAAGATCAGCATCCCCCAACAACAACGGGACAAAGGGAGACAAAGATTCACCTTCCTTGAAACACAATGAGTGGAATGAGACAGAAACCAAGGATCTTTTAAGTTTCTCCCTAGCCTTCTATAGAATTAAATCAATCTTTAACTTGTATTGCTCTGCTATAGAAGAAATCTACTGAAATATATCTTCCTTTCAAAATCAAGGCCCTATATTCCTTCTTTTGTTTCAGCTAGCAGTTCAAATAGTCTACCCTGATTGCATAGCTCAAAATAGAATCCTAGAATTGTTTGAGTTGGAAGAGACAATTAAATCCAAATCCCCTGCAATGAACAGGGATATCTACAGGTAGACCAGGTTGTGAAGAGACCTGTCAAGCCTGATCTCGAACATCTCAAGGACAGGGTGCCCACATTTCTGGGCAGCATGTTCTAGGAAGAGTCCAATCTAAATCTCCCCTCCTTTAGTATGAAGCTTCTTGTCTTATCACAACAGACCTTGCTTTTTTCTCATAGCTCCCCTTCAGATATTGAAAGGTCTCCCCAGTGCCTTCTTTTCTCCAGGCTGGACAGCCCCAGCTCTCTCTGTTTGTCCTTGTAGTGGAGGTGTTCCATCCCTTGCATCATTTCTGTGGACTTCCTCTGGACATGCCTCTGGACAGGTCCACATCTCTCCTGTGTGGAGGACTCCATATTTGAATACTGTACTCCAGGTGGGGCCTCAGAGGGGCAAGGTCACCTCCCTCGATCTGCTGGCCACGCTTCTTTTGACACAGCCCAGGATACAAGATGGCACATTGCTGGTTTGTGTCCAGCTTGCCATCCACCAGCAGCCCCACGTTCTTTTCAGCAGGGCTGTGCTCCAAACATTACATCTCCCCACTTGTATTGAGAGCAGGGTTTGCCACGATGCAGGTACAAGACTTTGCACTTGAATTTACTGAAACATATGAAATGCACCTGGGCTCACTGCTCAAACCTGTCTAAGTTTCTGGCTGGCATCCCATCCCTGAGGCATATAGACACAGCTTCTTGTCATCTGTAAACTTGCTGAGGATGCACTTGATCCCACTATCAATGTTGTTGATAAAGGTATTGGTCCCAGTACTGACCCCTGAGGGACACCACTTATCACCAATTTCCATCCATACATTGAGCCATTGACCTTCAGTCTCTGAGTACAGTCTTGCAACCAGTTTCTTGTCCAACAAACAGTCCATCCATCAAATCCATATCTTTCCAGTTTGGAGAAAAGGATGTTATGGCGGACCATGACCAAGGCCTCACTGAAGTCCAGATAGATGACATCAGTGGCTTTCTCCTTGTCCACCAGTGCAGATACACTGCCATAGAAGGTAGCTAGTTCATTCATGCAGGACTTGCCCTTGGTGAAGCCATGCTGGTTCTCCCCATATCACCTCCTTCTTTTCCATGTGCCTTAGCATATGTTCCAAGAAGATCTGTTCCATGATCTTCCCCACCACATAGATGAGGCTAACAGGATTGTAGTTCCCTGGCTCATCTTTTCTACCCTATGAATGAACTTTTATGTATGAACTTGCATGGATTGCTACTTCATGGAAATAGAGAAGAAAATTTCTTCACAAAGATAGGGAAAATTAAGTAACAGTAGTTGTTCAGTTCAAAGTGATATCTTCTCTGAGTTATACTTATTTAAACAACTACAATAGGTTAAAAAAAAAGGTCTTTTTTTTTTTACCTTGTTTAACATTTTCTCCCTTAGCTAAATGCAAAAGGATAGGTCTATCATATTAAGACTTCGTTTTCACGTGTAACTTGTTCTTGTTAGTATCTACATACACAATGTATGATATTTTTTTGAAGCTCTAGAGAACCATAGTGAGCTTCTGCTGCAACTTCCTGAAATGATTGTTTCTTCCATTGCTTCTTATTTCTTTAATCAGATATTGAATAGGTGCTGTGGTATTTGTATAAAGAGCCAGTCTTAAAGTTATTGATCTATTGGATGTTATTTGGAAGCTAATGCAGTACTAACTCTAGCTCCTTCTTGACCCAAGTGGATTCAGTTATTCAGTCATATTGTCTGACCTGCTGTACTTTTACTGGGCTGAAGATTAGGAGTACTTAGAGAAAGACTGCAGTACACTTTACCTCTTTGATCCAAAGTGCATTTTAAGAGTTGCACAATGTCACAACTCAAAACATTTCAAACCATTTGGATCAGACAAACTCCAGTATCAGCCTTTCTTGGATCAGTGAGAATCCAGTTAACAGAAAGTTAGCTCTTACATGAAGATAAAAAAAATTTAAAAAAAAGCATAACTCTCCTACAGGTCTTCAGATTCTTTCAAATATGTATGTTGTTGAATGTCCTCATCTCCATTATCTTCTGATATTTTCAGTATGACCTCTGACTGCATCTCCATTTGCACTGAATTTTGTTTCTGTTCAGAAAAAAAATTACATTATGTGCATCTACATTTGATATTATTACAAATTCTGTCTGAATTTTATTAAAAGCATGCTATCTGTTTGATGTATCTGGGATTAGTACTGATTACTTCTTCCATAATGATAACTGTGATACAGAGATCACATTAGTTACTCTCTCCCTCTAAAAGGTGCTCATAAGCACATTTACTTCATTATTATGAACCCTATCTTTTTTTGCTTATTGCCTTGCAGGATATTGACCAAGAGTTTATGTCAAAGTAATAATCTAGCTTTCCAACGTTATATTTATGTGCTGGATAAAACAGCTTATTGCAGCACCATTCTTCCCAATCTTCTTAACTCTTATGGCATGTCCAAAGTCAAAATCGCTGCGGTGTCAGCAATATTAGAGGTACTAATCTATTCCATATGTTTTTTTCAATTTCTCTTTCTTAGAAGTGCCATCAACAGTCATCTTAGTCACTTATAATAATCATCTAGACATTAATTACAGTTATGCTGAGGTTTTCCTGTCAAAGGTGTGTGTGGTGTTTTGTAATAGGGAACAGAACTTCTTCCTCTGTTACTGACATTTAAATATATATATTTTTGTGGTCATTGATTTCTGCAATTTTTTGATCTATACAGTGAATAAAAATGGACACCTGAATAGTAATGAATGCAGTTGTAGATTGCTGGCAGATACGGAATATATGTTTAATGATAATTTTGTTTTCAAATTCCAGTAGTCTATAATCAAAAGCACAGGAGTAATTATCAGTTACTTTTTGGTGAAAAGGGTACCAAAGGATTTTTGCATAGAGGAAGCAGCAAATATGGCACCTTTAGGTCAAATTCAGTCAGATATTTTTGGACAGAAGTGTCACAGAAATGATCAAATCTTGAGAATAGAACATAACTTTAGTACAATTCTGGAGTTCTATTGGATTTTTCTTTTCTGGAGAGATGACTATAAAATAAGAGGGGTATTGAACACTCCTGGGAGCCATCCCAAGGCTTGTAGAATGAACTACAGGTGAAAGTTCAAAACACATGCCATCAATCTCATCATTCTGAGATATCATTATGTAGCATATACATACCAGTTTCTCCATAAATTTGTCTGTAAGAAGGTAAAAGCAAAAAAAACAAAAAAAACTCACTCCCTTTGCCTCAAAATTCTAGATGTGATTCATGAATTTTGATGGCCCATGGTTGCTGTCAGAGTTTGCAACCACATACATACATTTAGAAAAAATCAATAAAACAACATTGAAAGGCAGACTCATTCCCCTGGGAGGGGAGGTGCAGCTCTCATTGACAACTGTCAGTCACAACAGTGAATGCACTTGCAGAAGAAGTTTAGATATTGTAGTGTAAGTACAGCAACAGAGTTGAGTAAGGTAAAGAAAAGTGAATGAAACAAAGGCTCTCCAAAAAATGTTCTAAATACATAGGATGAAGAAAATCCTCATAACAGTTTTCTTTTTTATTTACATCTCTCTGGAAAACACTGTTTGGGCACACCTTCATCTTTTCATCATGTGCTGTAGGAGAACCAGGTAAGAAAATCTTGCTGTGTCTTCTAGAGAGCAGCTCATTGTGGAGCTTCACTGGATTTATAATAACATAGACTACTGCCTGACCAGAACATTTTTTTTCCAGCTCACACAATCACATGCAGCAAGAAGCAGCATTGAATATGTTAGCCATGGAGCTGCATTAAGTAAATCACACAAATATTGGAAATATGTATTTTCTGTTTTGTCCAGTCAACTGAAGATTTGTAACTTGCTAAGAGATAAGTCAGAATCTGAATTTCCTGTCACGTATCATACCTTTCAAAATAAAATTTCTGTAAATGATTTTATCTTGCAGCATGGGCGCTGTTGTGGTAGCTTGCATTTCATGTATTGCTGAGCTTCCTCTTATTTACTCTAAATGTGCGTGCTCACTACATAATAGCCAATGACTTGCACTTCTTCACAAAGAACTTCCCTTTCATAACTTTCCCACATTCTTATACCTGTAAGACTGTAGAACTGATTATTCTGGAAGAAGTCATGGTTGCTTTTTAAAAGAATGGTCCATTGAGTGTGGAAATGCTGAAACAATCTCTCTTTGAGACACACTTAAGGTAGTAATTTCCTGAGGAGATGATCCTTTCTAAGAAAATTGTATGCCTGTAATCTCCAGAAACACTCTGTTCTCTTTCAGTTTCAGTACAAACACTTTGCATACCTTCCACCGTTCTTCTTAAAACTGATCCACTGCTCAAATGCAATGTTATGCTACTCTGATTGCAGGTAATATAACGCATATCATTGTAGCAAGAGAAAAAAGATACTCTACCTGGTGATGAGTCTCATCTGTAGCTAACCAAGTTGTAACTTTATCTGTAGGACCTGGAAAGGGCATGGTTATAACTTCCAGGAATCTATACCTACAAGAGAGTGATACAGACACATAACTCTAGAATATCTGCAGGAACAAATTATTCAATAATACTTTGCAATAGATCCATCTGAAACAGACATCGGGTAGCAATTTAAATGAGTAAGAAACTTAAATATGGAGAGGAAACATCCACTCAAATGGAGCACAGTCTGTGGTCCGAGTGAAAGATTCAGTGGAATGTAACAAACACATCTAAATTTAGGTGGTCAGGAGCTGCCTAATAGCCTCCAGAGATACTCCAGAGCTCTTTCCACTGACTAGAAAGGTGTCTTGAACGCTTCAGTGAAGACTGTAGGTGCCAAAAAAATAAAATGAATTAGATGTTAGCATTAGGCAGACATCTTCTATTTCTAAAGCTATTCTACTCTTTTTTGTTTTAACACAGACATTTTGCTCAGCATTTTTCCTAGCTCTTCTTTCACCTCACCAGTTTTAACTTGCTAAAGTTTTAAAAGGATTGTATGGATATGCTCCTGCATTTGAATTTCAACAAAAACAAGAACCTGTGGCATGCTACCATGCTTATAGCCAGAAAAATGCTCCTGTTTTCATAAGTAAAAATACTGCCTATAAAATGTGATAATCAAAGGAAGAAACATAGAGAACAGGGGCAGGCATCGTGTCAGAAATGTCTTTTAATTCCTTTACTGAAATTTAGCACAATTCAAGTTGAGCAAGAGTGAGGTCTGCACAGAACCATGAAAATATTTTGCACTATAACAAAGGGTTATATGTTGGTTTTCAGTACTGTAAATTTACCACAAAAGAAATCTACCAGCAGAACTGATCTCCTGAGACCAGACACACTCCTTATTATTTGACCAGAATATTGTTTTATGTTTAGATGCAGGTGGTTTTTAATTGCTTTCCTTGTGTCAGTAGAAGTATTGTATACTGTATTTTAACAGTTTCAGATCCAGAGTTCCCTGAGTTCTTGTCTGCCAATATAAAGTGTATAGTAACTTCTTTTATCCTTACCAGGAACTTTATTTGGTTTTCAATTAATTAATTAATTAATTAATTTACTTCTAACACTGCTTCTATTTTGTATCACACCTTCCAAATACTAAGGCATCTTGACTTATCAGCATATCCTGATTTATTCTTTTTCCAGTTCAAGACAGCCTTCTCTGTTATATCAGTAGGAAATATAAGTAGCTGAGCAGAAAAGTAATGGTGTGGAGTCTTTTGGTTGCATTAATTTATGGCGGGTGTAGGGACACTAATGGTACAGCAAAGCAAATTACTTCTGTCAGCCTGACTTTCATTTTTTTTACTTATTTCTTGTAAGCTGTCTGATTTAGAGGAAAGGAATGCTCTAGGCAATACCCATGAATTATGAAATGAAGTTGGGCAACATGGGAAATGCACTTCATCTTTGGTATGATTAGTGTTGGTAGCTCAGAATGCAGAATCCATAAAACCATGGGGCAAAATCACACTGAGAGGAGCAGTCAGGCTAGTGGCAGAGATACAGCTGAGAGCATCTTATGAGACTGGAGCTCCAGGGACAGTGATGGAATCTGTGAGGTGCTCAGTAATGGTGTATTACTGCACACCTCTGATAAAGCAATACTGTTACTGCACCATTACTGCACTGCTTTTTGTAAGAAATAATTCATTTGAAAAGATCTCTCTTACACCAAAAAATTGTATTATCTGTCAGAAATGTGTATTACCTTCTACACGCACATATCAACAAACTTCCAAGGAAAATCAGAAGGCTGAACAATGTGAGGCTTAGTAGTTTGCTGTCCACAGTTTCTTCTTAAAAAGAAGAAATGATAATGTTAATAATATGGGAAAGGGTAGTTCATAAATTGATGAATTATATATTAATGACTCATAAATATTTCATCATTTCTGGGCTGCTACAGATTTAAAGAATCTTTTCACCAAGCTTTTTAAGGGAAACTGGGCCTTCTGACTTCAGCACTGTTCTTCTCCTTTTAACCCTCAGCCTTGCTGCTACCTTGATCCCACACTTTCCTCATCTTCCCCTGCACCAGTGGATTCCATTTGCTCCTTTTCCTGGATTTCTGCTCTCCTGTGCTTGGCATGGTCAGTCCTTTCACAGCATGCTTTCACCCAGCCTGGATATCATGGTCTTCTGTCTGCCTGTCTGTCCGTCTGTTGCTGACACTCCTGCTGCTGCCCAAGCTGCTTCTGAATTCCTGCTGTTGCCACCTCTCATCTCCACACACCATCAGCCCTCTGCCGCTGCCTGTTCACCCCTTCACAGCTGTAACTGATTTAAGGCAAAATGAAAGCAAAATCTTTTTGTCAAAAAAAAAAAAAAAAATCTCTTTGAATCAAGAGGCAACATATTTTTTGCATTAGACTTACCTAAAGAAATGCAAGAAAACATTCTGAAAGACATATTTATACTATTCAGAAAATATTACTGTTTTGTACTTTGTATTCCTTCCTCTAGAATAACCCAATCAAAAATGTTTGGTTTTTTTTGTTGTTGTTTTTTGTTTTCCAATTGTGTTTTTGTTTAATACCTGACTTTAGAACCATGACTTTGAACTAAGTACTTTGAAGAAGAAAAACAGGAAGGAACAGTTCTTGAAATGTTAGTAGTCCTAGGTCAGAACGATTTTATGGCCAATCTAGATAAAATTCAAACAAAATGGTTTGAACCCATTTGTGGTTTAAACAAAAATATAAAATTCCACAAAATTAATGTGAAAAGAAGAAAAGCTCTCAGACCTCTGCGCAGAAAAATCTTTATGTTCTACTAAAATACAAAGCTATTCTCCATTCACTTTAAGCTGAAAAGGAAGTTTTTCCCTTGTCTTTCGGGTTGAGTGCTCAGAAAATATGTTCTGAACAATTTCTGGACCATGAAGCATTAATACTTCATTTTGAGGTGATTGTTCTGCTGGTAATCCTTTCTGACGTACACACTCAAGACAAGGGGAAGCAGTGGTCTCTGTGTCAGCCAAACCACAACGAGGTTTGGTCCTCTTGCTTTCTTTCTTTGTTTCAGAAAGTTGGAAGACAAAAAGCATGCGTTCTTTTAGTTAGGTTAATTTATGCTTTGGCATAAATTTTGTTTTGGATGTTTTTTTGTTTGTTTGTTTGTTTTTCATATGCAAATGCTTAAACTCAGTCACATACAACAGTAAATTGAACCAAAACAATTGGCTTGGTCTGCAGAATTCAGAACACCTCTGAATTGCTATTAACTTCAAAGTGATCTATGAATGCTCAGAAGCTCCAAAAATTAGACCAATTATTTCAAGTTTCTATATATGAATAAAGCTGATCAAACATTTTTCTTTTAGCGGAAAGTTTCCATACCGAACAGTTCAGTTTAAATTGTCTTATTTTTCAAGGGCATATGCTAATTCTGGTGGAAAATGAATATGTTTCCCATGAGAAAATTAACAAATTCTTTTCATGTCAAAGGAACATTTCAGAACAAATATTTTAGTTATGTTTTGAATTATGTTATTTCGTTTTGATGTATCAGCTTTTTAAATGGAGAATGAAATGTCTCTGAAAAATGCATTCTTAAAGAAATGTATTTTTTAGATGAAACATTGGAGTGTCACGTGAAATTAAAAAAAAATAAAATAAAAGCAGGTCAGTTCACGTTGCTTTAAGACTTTCAGCAGAAAAACTGACACATTCTGAAATAAAAATACCTAATGGAAGTTTTTTGGTTTTTTTTCCCTTTCACTTTACTCCACAGAATGTCTCAATCTTTTATAATCACTGTGTCTAAAAAATTAGGAAGACATGGATCTTCCATGAAATTACCATGAATTATACTACTAATGACAGACTTTTAAAAAAGTCTAGGCAGTATTAAAGTACATTTCATAACATCCATTTATTATATATTTTCCCAGTTAAAAACAGCCAAAGTCATTTCAGCTGAATACAACATAAAACAGCCAGAAAACCCTCTCTAAGTATCAAAGGAGTTGTTTAAAAAGTTGCCTGAGTCTGTGATCCCTCAATGTAGTATACTCCATAGATTCATATTACAAAAGCCACTGATCCTCTCCAAATACAGGAAGGAAGAAGGGAAATTGCTGTATTACATGAACTTGTGCAGTTACATGCTCCAGAGGCAAATCAACTTTCTGCACCAAACACATGGAGATATGACATATTATAAGCAATGGCTGTCCTGTCTACCATGATCTTTCCTGAAGTAGAGAAAACAAGTTGTGATTGTTAACCTCAACAACAGCTGTTGAGGAAGTTGGGAAAGCAGTGGTGTTGAAAACAGTTGAAGGACTGTTGCAGCTGCTGAAAGCAAGGTTTTGTAGGCTGTAATTAGGATGGGTGACTGCCCAGGTCCATTTTCCTCTTCTGATGAGGGGCTGGCAGGGAATGGGTAAATGTACATCATCTCCTCACAAGGAAAAGCCCTTCAAATTTCCCCTTCCTCCACTGTCTACACTTCAGCTCAAATGTGCCCAGCCTGACACAAGGCACCAGGCAGACATATGCTGGCCATGCTACTGACCAAGTTTCTTTTTCTATTCAGTGAGAAGAAATGGGAATTTCTGATGAATAGTTCAAATCTCTGATGGACAGAAGTGCATCCTCTCTTTCATCACAGTGAGCAGATGGAGCTCCACTCTACAAGCATTTCAGAAGTGAAGTCTTCTGAAATGAAGTGAGTGAATCTAATCCAACAGAGATGGTAGCTGAGAGGTGCCAACAGAACAGTAGGATGTGGTGAGGTATCTGAAAGGAGTAGGCAGGCAATATTCTATAAACTCTGTTACTGAATTTACATTCAATCCATTGCAAAAATAGCAATGCCTGCCATTGCATTTCCTGTCTCTTCAGATAAGCACGTACCTGAATCTTAATGGATCAGAAAGTCATATTCCAAAATGCATAGTCTGTTGCATTAAATATTTATATTGTATTGTTTTATTAGCAATAACATTGAACATTTTAACATGCTGTCATTCAGTGACAAGCCTGTGCACCACTTTCTCTACCTAAGTATTGAGTGTTATCCATCCCATTCTACTGATTCCCTTTTACCCAACCTGACATCATGAAGCAACTGTACATGGAGGCATTTTTTTAACCATGGAAAGTACCAGTTTCCCTTGTTAGCATACAAATTAAAATCTAGTCATAGGAGGTGAAGGAAAAAAACATGGCTTTTGTTTAATTTATACTAAAGCAAATGGTGGGAGTCAGAGCACATGTACTTGAATTAGAGCTTAACCACTTCTTATCTCTGTCAGATGAGAAATTATTCACAGAATCACAGAATGTCAGGGATTGGACAGAACCTTGAAAGATCACCTAGTCCAATCTGCCTGCCAGAGCACAACACCTAGATCAGGTCACACAAGAATGCATCCAGGCAGGTTTTGAATGTCTCCAGAGAAGGAGGCCCCACAACTTCTCTGGGCAGCCATTCCAGTGTTCTGTTACCCTCACCATGAAGAAGTGTTTTCTCATATTTATACAGAACATCCTGTTTTCCAGCTTGCACCCACTGCCCCTTATCTTACCATTGGATGTCACTGAGGAAAGCCTGGTTCCATGTTCCTGACATCCTCACCCTTTACATATTTTTATAAACATTAATGAGGTCACCCCTCAGTCTCCTCCAAACTAAAGAGACCCAGCTCCCTCAGCCTTTCTTTGTAACAGAGATGCTCCATTCCTTTAATCATCTTTGTGGCTCTGTACTGGACTCTCTCCAGCAGTTCCCTGTCCTTGAACTGAGAGGCCCAGAACTGGACACAATGTTCCAGATTATATTTACTTAATATAGTAATAAAAATGTTAGCTTTAGTTCCTATGGACTGTGATTTAATGAACATTATGATATTCATGAGTTTCCTGGCTTACAAACTCTAGCTGAGATCATTTGTAAAGATGTCCATTGCAGAAAAGGCAGAAAGGTGTTGTGTGCCATTTTTGCCTTCTAGAGGCTGTCACGAGTCACCTTAAGAGATCTGCCCTGTGCTAAACTAAGGACAAAGGAAATACAACCCATTAATTCAAGGACTCTGTTTCCCCACAGCATGTAGAGCTGTGAGACCTGGTATATGGAGTGGATCTCTTTGTACTGCTACAGTACAGTGAAGTAGCAAAAAGGAGAACAGAAATTAAATATGCTGAGTGATCCTAACATAAATGGTGACAGGAATTACACATGGTAAATGTATGATAACTTACCATCATAAATAATCACCGGTTCACTCCAATCACTCCAAATCTTGTTTGCTATGCATACCTCTTTCTTGGCCCTCACTTGTGCAGTACACTTTTTTGCTGGTCTAAGAAGTAGATACTCGTATTTCTCTTCAGTGACATCTACAATCTATGAAGACAGTTTTCGGGGGTTATTTTTTGTGATTTCATTTTGCAGTTGAAACAGATACAAGTCTAGGAATGTCAAATACTATTATTTATATCTCAAATCTACTGGAAAAAGATTTTCAAAAAAAAATGTTTATATTCAATTACAATCTGTCTTTTTGATGGCGTATTAAAACTTAGAAAATCAAGAAGAGGCTGGAACTGATAAGATGAAAGAATGTATCAGCTTTGGTCAAATGGTAAGTATCTGAAATCACTGATTCCCCTTTAATTTTTTTCTTACTCCAAGTGTAGGGTGAATACAATAACAATGAAACTATAAGTTATAAGGTTTTTGTGGGGATAGTATGTTGCCTTTGGTTTTCTGGTAGAAAAAAACCACAGTTTTCAGATGTCTAATGCTGAATATTGTCTATTACTTTAGTGACTATCTTGAAACATCTTTAATTGTGCCTACAAATCAAAGTATGCCACTACAAAAGATAAAAAATACACAAGATGTGTTCATAACAGTTCAGACCATCTACCAAAACCTAGAAAACCTGGAGCCAAACTTAGTATCTAGAAGAATGAGTCACAATCTACATCTTACATATGACATGTCTGTCATACACACTTTAACAGCTTTTGACCTTTATGCAACAACATGGAATTACTGACTCAGTTTGTGGCTCACTGTAATCCACAGACCTTTTTGTTCTGCATTTCTGCCTACACATTAATTCCTCATTTGGATTTTGCACATTTGACCTATATTTCCTAACAATAGTATTTTCCTCATTGCTGAATTTTGACTTGCTGATTTCAGATTTCATCCTTTCAAATTCAAGTCTTATTTTCTGTACTTCTAGCTAACTCTTCCTAGCTTTCATACATCTGTAGACTTTACTCCCTACTTTTAAGCTTTGTCTCTTTGTATTGCAGTATTATTAACATAAGTATTCACATAGTCACTTCCTTTGGTATTCATAATAAATACAGATTTGCATATTTTGATCATCCTCTTAAGTATCTGTCAACAAATATCTATAACCCTGCTCGTGGAAACCCTAATAACAATTAACACAGAACCTCAATTGTGCTCCATTCTCCTCCTTCCTTTTCCTCCTATAACATCACTGTGTTTTTTTCCTTACCTTTGTCTCCTCATTTTGTACATAACTACTCTTTAATTGTTACTAGCTTTGACACTGATTCTCCTCAAACACACCCTAAGCCCCCCTCATTCAGGTATAGGTTAGCAAAGATATAGGTGCTTCAAGGAAAACACAGCTTAGAAGAGAGCTTGAACAAAAACACCAAAGTCTCAGAAAATTCACATTCAAATACATATCTGAACTTCTCAGTATCTTATGTTCAGTTAAGTGCTTCCTACTCTTTGTGAGTGTAAATAAGAAGCTGTGTGAAAACATTTCAACTCTTACTACTGTATAATTTTAAACTGCCAGCTGGTACTGCCACCATACTTGCACCATACTCCACAAGCTAAGCTACAACACTCTTCTATTTTTTACTGTTAAAAGAAGCTGCTGATACACGATGAAAGATTATTAAATATATATAATATATGCAAATAACAGGAATGATTATTTTAGTTCTGTACGTAGATATAACAATATTGACATGTAAATTGTAACCACAATCCTGCAAGGATTCACATGCATTTCACATGAATTATTCACTGAATAAGGCATGAATTAAGTATGAGAGGAAATCTTTGCAAGGCTAAAGCCTGATTGCAAATTTCAGGAACAAATTAATATTGCAATCTAAATTAGCAAATATATTTTAGTTTTGAGGAGTACATTGAGAGCTGACATAGTTCTATTTCTATGGTAGAAAATCACATGCTTTAACCAATACTGTCTTTCTACAATTTATTAATTTCCTTCTAAAATGCAGGGTTATGCAGCTACATTTCAAATCAAGCTTTTTTAAAGTTTCTGTCCAGAAAAGAGAATGCTTTAATATATCTACAAGCATTTTTCTAACACGCTGCTTTTACATGTTATCTCAAAATTCATGTGGGACATCAAGAAGGAAGAGATGCTATTCAGACAAAAATAGATTCAAAATGTTCTGTGCAGGATAGAATTATATTTATATTCAGCTTTTAAAAAAAAAAAAAAAAAAAAAAGTATGATTTCGAAGAGTCATAGGATGGCTGAGGCAGGCAGGGCCCTCTGGGTCCCTCAGGCCCAGCTCCAGCTCCAGCAGGGCCCCCGAGAGCAGGCTGCCCAGGGCCACATCCAGGCGGCTGCTGGAGCTCCCCAAGGAGGAGACCCCACAGCCTCTGGGCAGCCTGTGCTGCTGCTCCGTCACCTGCACAGCACAGGAGTGTTGCCTGACATTCAGAGGGAGCTCCTGTGTGCCAGTTTGTGCCCAATGCCTCTTGTCCTGGCACTGGGCATCACAGAGAACAGCCTGGATGTGTCCTCTTTGCACCATCCCTTCAGGTATTTATATACCCTGATGAGACCTCCCTCAGCCTCCTCATCTCCAGGAGGACAAGTTCCAGCTCTCTGAGGTGTACCTCACAAGAAAGGTGCTCCAATCTATCCCTAATCAACCATCTTTAATTCATGTAAATGTTTTTCTCTTTTTACTTTTAAAGTCTTTTGGTTTCAATCAGTACATGCTTTAGATTTAAAAAATTTTCTTTCACTATAATCATCTCAGGAAACACTTAACAAAAGAAATACGTCCTTTAGTTGGAATAACTCTCTTCATCAAACAAATACTACAGGTTCCTTCTGAACAACTCTGAAAATAGCTGAGCATATTTATATAAGGAAAAGGGTAAATAAATCTATATATTATTTCTATAGAGAATAAGATAACTTCAATTCCAGATCAAACATGGTATGCTGGAATCTGCCCAATATATATTGGCCAGCATCTTTCTGGCAAAACACATAGTATCTTAACAGTGCAACAGTAATGATCCATTTTTTTCCTCAAAGTGAAGAAAAAAATTAAACATGAAAGTCCTATCTTTGGACAGAAAAGATACAGAAAAAAATGACCTTGAACATTTTTTAATAATATATTCTTCAGGTTGAACATTACCTCTCTAAAAAAAAAAAAAAAAAGTTTCCACCATTACTCTTATTTCTCAGTATTCACAAGTTAGCATCTTTTATCAATAATAAAAGGTCAGAAATCTAAGTGATGTTAATGTAACAGTCAAATTAATGAAAAACAAAGCAAACAAAAAAGCCCACTTGAATGCAAGTGTAAATCTGAAGAAGTCATAAAATATGTTGTTTTTCTCTTTTTGTTGAGAAAGACAAAAAAAATTGGATTATTTATGAAAGACCTTGGGATTTCTTCAAAGTTTGTTTGAATTTTAATTCCTTTAAACACAAGGGATGCCTATTTTTATAGAAATTATGCTATGTGGAGTAAGTGTATTACCAAAAATATGATTACCTTACTGTCTGTTATTTTCACTTGATACTTAAAGCACTTTTTTTCTCCTGAACCAATGGTAGGCGGGGGTTTCCAGTGAATTTTAATACTTCTGTTTTCAAGGGAAACAGAGACGTTGATCGGTGGGTTCAGTTTCTCTGAAAATGAGTACAGAGAGGTTTGTGCACTTTATGTTGTTTCTCATATTTATGTGCATCAGCCCTTGAAACAGACAATTGTCTAGTATGGAGTTACCACTTGCAAAGAAAACGCTCAGTGAATGAGACATTTTCTTTAAAAGTGTCACTCACTGAACGGCATTCATTTCTGCCTCAAAATAAAGGGAAAGATTTTTTTCTTCTCAGTATTTCCACTATGTCTCATGGGATACCCCAAGACTGTCTATGAGCCCAGTGATATAATTTTGAAAATAATGGAGTTAGAGCCCTCACTGATGGGATATTGAAGGGATGGCAACTAGTGGCAGGTTTGTTACACGTGCCTATAATATTTATTTCTTCTTGCAAATGAGCAGAAGAAAACTTGATATAGAAAAATGTTTTTCCATTGGAGCAATGCAAGCTTAGGAGATGAAAAAGGGACATGAACCTCTTGGAATGTGTCCAGAGGAGGACCATAAAAAAGATCCAAGGAGTGGAACACTTCCCTTATGAGGACAGGCTGAGAGAGCTGGGGCTGTTCAGCCTGGAGAAAAGAAGGGTATGGGGAGACCTGAGAGTGGCCTTTCAGTATCTAAAGGGGGGCAATAAGAAAAAGGGACAGACTCTTTAGCAGGCTGTGTTGTGACAGGACAAGGAGAATGGTTTCAAACTAAACGAGGAAAAAATGGTACCTGATATAAGGAAGAAGTTATTATAAAAAGTGTGGTGAGGCAGGAGATTGGGTGGAGGTTGGGTGGAGGCAGGAGGTAAGGTGGAGATTGACAGGAGAGGTGGTGGATGCCCTATTCCTGGGGTCATTCAAGATTAGGCTGGATAGGGCTTTGATCACCCTGATGTAGCTTTTTCCCTGTTCACTGCAGGAGGGTTGGACTTGGTGACATTTAGAAGTCCTTTCCAACTCAATTCCACCACCACCACTATGTTCCCATCATAAAATGCAAGCCGTGCAGTGGCCGTGTGGTTTTTTTTCGGAGAGGGAAGGTGAACTGGTTTGGAAGCAAGGGACATTTTTGCATTTGTAGGTTTTAGCATTTGTTGTAGATAAGCAAGTCCACAGCCACTTTCTATCATGGAGTCAACTGAGGCACTGATCTGGGTACAGGTGTGTGCAGGGTGTTCAGGCAGCAGGAACCCCTCCCAGCTGATGTTGCATTGCCACAAAGGGACGAACCACAGTTGCAGTTCTCTAATCAGCCCTACCATCAGAGATACATTCACCACAAAGCTGTGGGACTGGGCTAGTTGCACGGCTGCAATGTGGTGCTGAGTTTTCCTGCAGCTGTGGCTACATGGCCCTGTATTGCTCTACAGGAAGGTATGTCGTGTTTGAGGTTCCCTTTTTGGCTTTTATTTTGCCTTTCCCATCTAGAAGACTTTCATTTTGGAGCAATGAGAGTGCTCCACAAAGTCAACAAAAGCATCTATACCAACCTCAGCACTGTAAAGTTGTTCTGTTCTGCCTGCCCCAAAATCTGACCCTATTGGCAGTGACCAGAACTCACCTTAGGGGTCAAGGTGCACCACAAGCCATGAAAGGTGAGGAAGGTAAGCAACATCACCTTTGTGTTCAATCTCCAAAGTGATAAAGACATATTTTTCACCTCTGAGATATGTTTCCCAGAGGATATCATCCTGTTGTGAGTGCACTGAGGTTTGGACAAGATGATCTGAGAGGTCTTTTCCAACCTTAAACACTGTATGATTCAACCATTTAGACAGCGAGGACTGAGTTGCCCTGTAAGCTGAGGGTAAGTTTGCTGCATGCCATGAAACTTTTGCAATGTATTTTAGAAGTAAGATGGGTTTCTGCTTGGCACTGGGGCAGGAGGGGAAGCTGCTGGCTTAACCAGCAGTGAGCTCCTCCAGGTTGTCTATGGAACACACAGCACGGTATTCCTGCAGATTAGTTCTTCCCTCCTCATTTTTATTTTTTTCCCCAGAAAAAAAGATTTTCGTGAAGATATTTTATTTTGCTAAAACAGAACATATTGCTTTTAACTACTTCTGACTGCAGTGCAAATACTAAGGTAAAGCCAATAATTCTAATGTATGAAAACACAGTAAATCAAATCCAGCTCAGAAGAGATTTTGATAAATTTGACTGAGTTTTTGCTTTCACTTGAGTCATCCTGATTCCTGTGTTACAAGTCTGGAATATGATCAATACATTCATAATTTGAAACATATTTGATTCTGCAATCTGTGCTAAAGCTCAGGAGGATTTCTTACTAATGAGATTAATTTAAGCATCACAGAGAAGATAAGAAAAATAAATATATCTGATCATTCAGTTGTCAGTAGTTAAAAATCACTATCAAACTATTTTTAACTAAAAATGGCTTCGTAAATAGAGATGTTTTTAATGTTTCATAACACTCATATTCTCAAATACAGTTATTAATGATGGATGTGTGTTTATTCTCTACATTAACTTGTTTTCCTCAGGAAAATAAGAGAAAGAAATGACAGCAAAGAGAAAAACTGGAGGAAAGAATAGTATAATGCTTTTCAAATTACATGGAATTAAATCTTAAGAACATTTTCTCACAATATCCTATTATTTTCTAAAGGGTAATTTTGGTAAACAATAATATTAATTCAAAGAATAAACCTAAAGACATTTGAGTCACAATCTTTTTTTTTTTTTTTATCTTTGTGTAAAATTCCCAGGGATATAAATGTATAGCAAGTTGGAAATAATATTCTAATTTTGTCACACTTCTCTCTTTTGTTTCCTTGATTCCAGATCAATGAAATAACCAATAAACAAGTTTTTCATAATAGGCAGTAATAGACAATACTTACCTATTTTTTGAGGTGTAAAACCTTTATAATAAGACAGTCTTCTGGAATTATTTCTCAGATCTACTACAGATATGTTTAAAATTATTTTCCTTAGTGGTTGGAAAGATATATCTTTCATGTGGCATCCAATATTTTTATTTCTTGCATTTCTTATATATTGCTGGCACTCAAAATATTTTTCTGTGTGTCTGTGGGAAGGAAATATGAGTCTTTCAGATCAAGGTATAATAGATCTTAGACAAGGTATGACAGATTTAGTGTTTTAAAACAAACAAACCATAGTTTCATACTAATTTACTAATTTTGCACAAGATCCTTACCTGTATGAAAAAAAATACTGGACATCTGCAGGATCTTCTGCTTTAATATGCCAGGTGCAATTGAAAAAAGAAATATTATATATGATGCATGAAAGATTCTGAATATATACTGCAACAAAGAAAGGAGAGAAAAAGAAAGTGTGCCGTTTCTGTTACTTAGATTTTCTAGGAACACAATGGATGTCTTTAAAACTTGTCTTGTATCCTTATCTCTAGAGGGGCGGATAAGTACTGGATAAGAGAAAATGGACTTATGGGGCAATAATAACTGAGAAGTGCTTCTGATACTACAACCAAAAGCCTTACTAATGCAGTTAAAGAGAAAAAAAACATCTGGAATACTAGCTGAAGAACTCTACTGTTCTAAGGTTTCCTGAAACCAGATAATACAAAAGGAAGATGGAGACTTGGAATAACATTCTGACATCTCACTCAGCTGAGGTGAACCTGAACATGTCTTAAATAATTATCAATATTACAAAATGCTATATGTCATTCTCTTAAATGAATATTTAAAAAATATAAGATAATCATTAGCTTTTAGAAACTATATGTCTCCAAATAAGACAGAACATTACAAGGAATGCTTATATGTCTTAATGACATGCAGGAAATAGCTGACCTGGAGGAGACCTGTATGTACATTCTGTCCAGCTGCCCTCCTTAATTAGGTCTTCTGTTTCTTTCATAAAAACCTGTGTTTTAACTTTAGCTTTAAAACCAGGATGTAGCTCAAGACGTATCCTTTTTTTCTTTTCCTGTAGTCTTTCCTAAAAAGAGAAAGAAGGAATTACATTAAGACAGACAGTAGCAATGACTGAAAGGCAAATTATGCAAATTCATCTACCAAATGAAGTAATGTGTGATTTCACTTAAACTACATGTAACCACTGAACAACTTACTTTCCTTTCCTGAAACGTATCAAAGAATGTGTAACTCAGAATATACTTCACACTGTACTTCTCTGTCTCTTCTTTTGTCAGGTTGTTGTTCCAGTACAGAATAACTTGTGACTCTTTCTTGGTAACCTGCAGATCATTATGTAGCCGAAGTTCATCTGCAATTAGAATGACATTACTGAGAGGAAAAGTGGTCTCATACTACATACACAAAGGATTTGTCTCCCAATAAGGCCTGCACACTCATCAGCTCGCCCTGGGAGCTCTGTTCTCACATAGAATAGGTGATCACATTCAATAATATGAGTGACTTTAATAGTGAGATTCATGTTTACCCATCTACATCTCCCAAAATGTTAGGTAATTCACTTTTACCTGCCTTGAACAATTTTCCTATTGGTTGTAGAAAGAGACTTGACAAGGTAACTGGGATGGCTAGCATGGAATGAAACATTACTTAATTTTTTACTTACCCACTACATCTGGTTGTCTTCTTGTCAAACCAGTGGAAAACAGTGTCTTATGTTGGAAAAAGCTTAGCATCAGCACAACAGGAACATATGTAACATATGTCATATTAAGTGCTTAAGGTCACAGATTTGTAGAAACTGAGAATTTAGTTCCAAGTTTGGCTCACTTAGAACACGATGTTTTCATTTTTCCTCTGTGAAATAATATGACACCGTCACTTAACCACTGAAGTGATGTCAGAAGTCTAGGAAGTAAACATGAAATGACACATGGTTAATGAGTCTTGTTGGTCACTGACTGCTGTTACGAGGATGCTTGTATTTAAACTTGTGCTTGAGCTGTGTACCATAGTCAAAGAGGATATTTATCATATTGAACTGGTTTTGAACTGGGCTGTTGCACTGATTGTATGGTAAGATCACTGAAATTACAATATTGATAGTGCCTGATAGCAGACAGTTTGAGTGGGAATCACTTGACATAACCAGAAGCTCTATTTGTGTGAGTGACCTAGCCTCTAATAGCAGCAGGCCAACTGTCACTTCTGGGCTGTAATTCATATTACCTGTTCCAAGCAACTGCAACTATCTGAGGAGAGGAGAAATTAATCATGACATTCGTAAAAGTGAGTATTGGGAAGACTGTACCACCTTTGCTAACTTTGGGATACAGTAAGCAGACTGTGCACTGGTTAAAGTTGGTTTTAGAAAGATATGTAAATTGCTCAGACAACTAAAATGTTTATTCAAAGGCAGATCTCTTGATGTAGGATGACTTCGCAGACAGTTCTCTACAGAATGAACAAGTCTCTATGATCAGGGTCTTTCATTCACCAACTAACTCATTTATCTTGAGTTTTATGTTTTTCAGTACTAAACCATACACACTCATACTCCATGTACTTCATCTGGGAAACAGCAGAAGGCCTCCTAGAGCAACTGTCTATCACAGTGCTCTTGATAAACTGACTAACAAGAGGCACAGGCTGTGTAGAGGAAAATGTGTGAATGTTTAGCACACTCCAAAAAAGTTTACATGTTTACACAATGAAGTTACCTGGAAATGTATACATACACATATACACATACAGATGCACATATAAGTACATTTATAATGTTATTTTGGTACAATGCAGTAAGCAAGAGGTAATTTAATGAATTGCATTGTTCTCAGGTTCTCACTTTTGTTTACAACCAAACCCACACTAAAGCAATCCAAAGTACTCTTAGGAACATTTATGTACTTTACTTCAGTCAGTAGAAAGAGGAAAATGGGGTGAAAAACGCTAAAAAGCTAAATATGAAATATTTGTAGCTGTGAGTACCATGACACTTGTGAAAAATGTAAGTGAAAAGATTTAAAATAGGAAAAGGAACAAAATAAATCTTAAAGAAGGAAATGTTGTCAGTGTTAGGAACAAAAATAGAAATAATCTGTGAGGCAATATAACTGACTGAACTCAGAGGGAGGGAGGAAACAGTAGTAGAGAAAGAAGGTTTCTAAGCCTGAATGATTATTTAAAAGGCAACCATCAGTTTGAGTCAAAAAAGGGTATTTCAGGAAAAAGTACTGCTGTTTCCCAGAGGCAACTTGCTCCTAGGTGTACCTTTTGTACAACACTGAAGGCACTGAAGGCAACCCTCTGCTCAGAGCACAGTGAACTCGGGCAATCTGCTGCCATGGGAGGTGTCATGGAAGACAATATCAGCAGGCTGAGAACAAGGCAAAGTAAACTTGTGGAGAGCAGGTCTGTGGAAAGGGACTAAAAAGTTTGATAGGAAGAAATGCTATAACATCTCTAATTCAGCAAATATGGATGCAGGAGTTGGCCAAATTTGTGGATTATGTGACCCAACAGGTCATGTATTATGTTTATACACAATCAAAGTATCATAGAATGGCTTTGAGGGACCTTAAAGTTCATTAAGCTCCAACCCCCTGCCATTGACGGGGTTGCCAACCAGCAGATCAAGCTGCTCAGGATCTCAACCAATTTGGCCTTGAATGCCTCCAAAGATGAGGCATCCACTACCTCTCTGGACAACCTGTTCCAGTGCCTCACAACCCTCTGAGCAAAAAATGTCTTTCTAACATCCAATCAGAATTTCCCCCCTCTTAGTTTAAAACCATTCCTCCTTGTTCCATCACTATCAGACTGTGTAATAAGTTGGTTCCCCTGGCTCGTAAACTATCTTCATGTACTGGAAGGCCACAATGAGGTCTCATGGGAGCCTTCTCCAGGCTAAACAAGCTCAGGTCCCTAAACTTTTCTTCATAGAAGAGGTGCTCCAGCCCTTCATGGCCCTCATCTGGACCTCCTTCAACAGCTCTACATCCTTCCTGTACTTGCGGCTTCCAGGTTTGGACATATCACTTCAGATGGGGCCTCACAAGGGCAGAATACAGGGGGAAAATCCCTTCCCTCTCCCTGCTGGCTGACTTTCCTTCGATGTAGCCCAGGATACTGTTGGCGTTTCAGGCTGCAAGCACTCAATGCTGGCTCATGTCCAGCTTTTTGTCCACCAAGATTCCCAAGTCCTTCTCCACAGGGCTGATTTCAATGAGTTCTTTCCCCAGTCTGTACTCATATCTGGGACTTCCTCAACCCAAGTGCAACACCTTAAAGTTGTCCTTGTTAAACCTCCTTATGTTCTTTTGTGCCCACTTCATGAGTATGTCCAGGTCCTCTGGACAGCATTCCTCCCTTCTATTGTGTCAACTGCACCACTCAGTTTGCTGTCATCAACAAACTTGCTGAGGTTGCTCTCAATCCCACCATGTTGTTGATAAAGATGTTGAAGAGCACTGGTCCCAAGACAAATCCTTGGGGGACACCACTCACGACCAGCCCCCACTTGGACATAGAGCCATTGACCACAATCTTCTAGCAGTGACCATCCAATCAATTCTTTGTCTACTTAGTAGTCCAGCCTTCAAATTCATTTGTCTCCAATTTAGAAGATGAGGTGTACGATCATGTCAAGGCTGTGCATAAGTCCAGGTAGATGATGTCCTTTGTCCACCGATACCACCACTCCATCATTGAAGGCCATCAGATAGATCTGGCACGATCTACCCTTGGTAAAGCCATACTAGCTGTCTCAAATCACCTCCACACCTCACATGTGCCTTAACATCTCTTCCAGGAGAATTGGCTCCACGATCTTCCCAGGTACAGAGATGAGGCTCAAAGGCCTGAGTTCCTTGGGTCTTCCTTTCTCCCTTCTTTGAATATGAGATTAATATTTCCTTTTTTCCAGTCACTCACCAGGAACTTTGCCTGGCAGCCATGATTTTTCAAATATGATGGAGAGCAGGTTGACAGCCAGGTCAGCCCGTTCCTTCATGATTCTGGGATGCATGTTGTATGGCTCCATAGAAGTATATGCATTCATTCTCATGAAATAGTCAATGAATTGGTCCCCAAAATACAGCAAAGGGAAAACATACAGGTGATCAAAAGGGAATTAAAAGACATCCAAAGATAAAAGGCTTTTAGATCCACTACTTGTCAAAGCAAGCATATTTTCATTAATGTCCATTCAGATAAGCAGGGTCACAGAATATTTTTTCTCAAACATGAACAGACAGAACAGTCTGTGTAGTGTTGTTTTAATTACAAACAGCTTTATGTTGGCATATGGTGCCAAAATTCAGTCCATGAGATGCAAAATAAAATTCACAGCCTGACTTTTTGTGTTTTAAAGGCCCACTCTGGAGAAATAGATTCTAGGCAAATATAATGACAGTTCAGCTGTTTTAATAGGATAAAAACTATGTGAATAATGTAAATTATATAAAAAATAACCAAAAATCAACGAAGTCAGATTGTTTTCTAAACAGTTATCTGTCAAAAAGTTCCACAACAAACCTCTTTTATTATCACAGAATCATAGAATCATAGAATCACAAGGTTGGAAAGGATCTACAAGATCATTTAATCCAACCGTCTTCCAATTGCCATTACTACCACAAGCCACTAAACCATATCTGGTAGCTCCTCATCCAGACGCCTCTTGAACACTGCCAGGGGCAACTCCACCACCTCCCTGGGCAGCCATTCCAGTGCCTGACCACTCTCTGAGAAAAAAAGATTTTCTTACGTCTAATCTAAATTTCCTCTCGTGCAACTTGTGACTGTTTCCCCGGGTCCTGTTTGTTGCCTGGGAGATTAAAGTATTCTTAATAATTAAAAAAAATACTATTCTTATAATTAGCAGCTTTTGTTGTTACTGTCTTTTGCTTAATTCCCTGTTTTTTTTGTTTGGATTCCAGGTATAACCGATGCCAGATGGTTTCTGCCAAGCAATGTCTTTGTTATGCAATAGTGGGTTGCTAGAGTTATGTACAGGGGAAGTAATGTATGGCAGTGCGCCTGCCACGCACCAGAACATCTGCAGAGACTACAGAAAATGTGCAAAACACACCTGGTGAATCTGGAAAGTAGACAGTTAGGACAAGAAAATGAAAGTAGCAAAACCCATCTGAGCAAAACTTAGACTAGCTACTACAGATGTGTGGAAAAATAGCTGTTTAATTTTAAAAGTTCAAGAGAATAGGGAATGTCCTGAAGTATAGAGGTTTGCTCTGGCTATGCATCTGAATAAATACATTTTTGAAACTTGTGGGTCTGATTATTTGACTACTTCTAAATACAAAAGATAAGATCTAAGTAAGAACATTTTTTTAAATATTTTCTTCGAAAAAAAATTGTTAAATCATCCAGAAAGGCAATCTCGGGTATTCCTGAAATATACATTGTGCAGAATTTATAGGACAAATTCAATCATTAGGCAATAAGATTTTCATTTTTAAGCTGAAATGCAAATTAAAAAGCATCATGAGAACTAGTTGAATCATGAAGAAATATCTAAAACTTACACATAATTTAAGGCTACAGATTCATATTTTCTGAAGTCCCCATATAGTACATAATGTTGGCATTGAATAAGGAATAATGAAATAAAAAGCATAGGTCAAATAAATACATTTTAAATGTATACAGTTCAAATAGCAGACTATTCAGCTTCGTTTTTTTCAAATCTTACCTTCTCTTTAATTCATGTTAATTGCCTGTAGCATCATTTGGGCTGAGAAGCTGTAGAGATAAGCACGGGAGAATGTCTCAAAGACTATAGCAAGAAATGATTCAGGAGACTTCCCTTTTTCTCAAGACACCATCTCAGGAAAGCCCACTGCTGCTGTCACTTCCTCCTGCGGGAGGAAAACACACCATGAACATCAACTGGAACATTAGTCAAATTCTTCAGAACACCTTGAAAAGGGACACACCTTAATGACTGACCCGGTGAACATCATGTTACTATTTTTTCTCTTTTCATTTGGAGAAGAAAGATTTCCAAACGTTTTACATACTGCAATGAGTTTTTATCTTTCACAAAAAAGTCATATTTCAGAATAAATTAAACTATGTAGTGCAAGTGATAGATATGAAATTAAAATCCAAGAAAGATCATACACTGCCACTTGCCACTGTTCTCCTGGTTTTCTGGTGATTAATATACATGCTTCAAGGTGGAATAAATCAAAATAAATTAATTATGTAGTAACAACTACAATGACAGAATGATAGACTTAAAAAATCTCATGAAGGTAAAAGAACAAACAACTCCTTCTTTTTGAACAGGCATTGTTATCTGTTTTATTCCCAGAAGCTTTGCTCAACTTAACATCTAATTCATGGATTTACTATTAATGTATCATTTTATTCATACAAGCTGATATTTTGTATTCTAGTTTTCCCCTTAAGCTGAATTTGATGGGAAAATTTTGGATAATTCATTCCTGTCTTTCTGGGAATATGGTTTGGAACTGACACACCTCTTTGTTCCAGTTAAAAGTTATTTGCTGAGCATTTGAAACTTTCCAGGTTTTGGTGCAAA